GGCTAGTGGGGGCCTGGGGTGGGTTCATGGGGGTCAGAGGCATGGCCAGACCAACCCCTCTCTGTTCTCCAGGACACAAAAGTCAACACCATTGTCATCCCTGAGAAGGAGCTGGAGGCCAAGGACCTTGACAAAAATGACATCTTGTTCTATGCTCTCCAGGAAGTGACCCCGGTCAGCAATCCCATCCCCACCCCAACTCCAAGCCCTCCCTTCGGGCGTCCCTGCCTCTCCACGTCATCCCAGGGCCTCAACTCTGCCCCCCATCTCTCCAGGGTGCCAGGAATTTCTTCTCCTTGGTGGGTGCCAACCTCCCCGCCCTGCGCCTAGACCAGCCACTGGACTTCGACAAGGGTCAGAGCATGACCTTCAGGCTGCTGGTGCGGGTGAGCAGGCCACTGCCCCGAGTCTGGGTCCCTCTCGTCCCCACTGAAGCCGCCCCAGCCCAGCTCCCAGGCTGATTGTCAGGGCTGGGGTGTTGCAGGATACCCAGGAGGAAGACGCAGTGCCCAGCCACACGGCCACGGCCACCTTGGTCCTGGAGGTGCAGCCTGCTGACCTGCGGCCGCCCTGGTTCTTGCCTTGCGTCTACTCGGACTCTCACTTCTGCCTCCAAGCCCAGTACCACGGGGCTGTCCCCACAGGCCACAGACTGGTACTGGGGCCAGGGAGGGGCAGGGCCAGGGGAGGCTCAGGGTTGGAGTCGGGGATGGGGCCTGGGTGCCCCAGGGCCACATTTTTTAAACAAATGTGAGAATTGCTTTTTAAACCAACCTTGTCCAACCCCCAGCTGGTGAGTGGTGAACAAACTCCTCTGAAGTGAGAAGGACAGGGCTGGGCTGTCCTGGGGGCAGAGCCAGGGACCCAGCGAGGCTGCCGGGGGACTTAGGGGCCCCGTGGAGCTGCCGGTCCCTGCTCCTGCCGCGAGGGGTGCACTGAGGCACCAGAGGGCAGGGGTCCAGACCTCTCCCCATGAGCTGCCCTGTGCCCAGTGGGTGCCACCTTCTGAGACACCCATTATTCAGGTCAATCCAATGTCTTTGAGCAAAATGACTCATTAACAACAGGTCCGAAGGGTGTGGTAGGTGATCCTGCCCGAGGGCAGGCCGATGGCTGGGGTGGGGGCTGTTCCAGGCCACTCGGAAGGGATTGGGAAGGGCCGGGCTGGACCCCTCACACCAGCCCATGGAGTCCCCTCCCCTCTGGGTCCCCACAGCCGGCCCCCCTCATCCTGCGACCTGGGCCCATCTACGCCGTGGATGGGGACAGGGGCATCAACCAGCCCATCATCTACAGCATCCTGAGTGGTGAGTGAGGACCAGCCCCAGCTTCTCTCTCCACCCAACACCCATACCCAGACCCATCCCCACCTGGGGCCCAGGAAACCCCAGGGGACCTGCCACATGGGCAGAGCCAGCTGGGACCCTGGACTTTAGGCCTCCGGAGGGGACAGGCCCCAACCCTCCTGCCATCCTCCCAGGAAACGAGAACAGCACTTTTGCCATCAACGCCAAGTCAGGCAACCTCACCATGACCAGGGGCATCCCCAGTCCCAAGACCTTTGACTTGCTGGTCCAGGTGAGTCCCCTGCCTAGGTCTCCCAGGGCCCTTCCTGAGCCCCAGGCTGCAGGACTCGCCCTTCAAGGACCCACTGGTCGTGGCTGCCTCCCCCCCTCCCCCAGGCCCAGCAGGAGGACCGCGCCCGCCGCTCGGTGACCCAGGTCAGAGTGGAGGCCCGTGCCGCCGTGGGGAGCCTGCCCAGCTTCTCTGAGAGCCTGTACCGTGGCACCGTGGCTCTGGGCTCTGGCGTGGGTGTGGCGGTCAAGGATGCAGCCATCCCCTCCCAGCCTCTGAAGATCCAGGCCAAGGATCCAGAGTTTCCAGTAGGCACCGCTTGGTCCCTGGGTCTGCCTGGCCTCCCCTCTGTGGGTGGGTTGGGGGTGATGGGGGCGCCAGGGCCCAGGGCTCACTGAGGCTGTGTCCAGGAGCTCAACTCGGCCATCACCTACCGCGTCACCAACAACTCCAACTTCCGGATGGACGGCGAGGCGGTGCTGATTGCGGCCCCGCTGGTGCAGGCGGGGGTCTTCTACGCAGAGGTGAGAAGCAGGCAACATCTCCAGGGAGCAGGGTTAAGGGGGGACCTAAGACGCACAAGCTCCTTCGCTCCCCAGGTGGAGGCCAAAAACACGGTGACATCAGGCACAGCAACCACAGCCGTGGAGATTGAAGTCTCAGAGCAGGAGCCCAGCCCCACAGGTGAGCGTCCCGACCTGGGTGACCCTCAGGGAGGGATGTTGCCTCAGGCATCCTGGGGACAGAGGCAAGCCAGAGCTGTGTCCCTGGCCTCCAGGCACCCCAGGTTCCCCAACACCCCCGGAGGCTGGACAAACAACCCGGCCCCCAAGCAGCTCCACTTCAGAAGTCCCCAGACCCCCCGAGCCTTCTCAAGGACCCTCCACAACCAGCTCTGGGGGGAGCACTGGCCCAAGCCCCCCAAGCAGCTCCACTCCAGAAGTCCCCAAGCCCCCCAAGCCTTCTCAGGGACCCTCCACGACCAGCTCTGGGGGGAGCATTGGCCCAAGCCCCCCAAGCAGCTCCACTCCAGAAGTCCCCAAGCCCCCCAAGCCTTCTCAGGGACCCTCCACAACCAGCTCTGGGGGGAGCATTGGCCCAAGCCCCCCAAGCAGCTCCACTCCAGAAGTCCCCAAGCCCCCCAAGCCTTCTCAAGGACCCTCCACAACCAGCTCTGGGGGGAGCACTGGCCCAAGCCCCCCAAGCAGCTCCACTCCAGAAGTCCCCAAGCCCCCCAAGCCTTCTCAAGGACCCTCCACAACCAGCTCTGGGGGGAGCATTGGCCCAAGCCCCCCAAGCAGCTCCACTCCAGAAGTCCCCAAGCCCCCCAAGCCTTCTCAGGGACCCTCCACAACCAGCTCTGGGGGGAGCATTGGCCCAAGCCCCCCAAGCAGCTCCACTCCAGAAGTCCCCAAGCCCCCCAAGCCTTCTCAAGGACCCTCCACAACCAGCTCTGGGGGGAGCATTGGCCCAAGCCCCCCAAGCAGCTCCACTCCAGAAGTCCCCAAGCCCCCCAAGCCTTCTCAGGGACCCTCCACAACCAGCTCTGGGGGGAGCATTGGCCCAAGCCCCCCAAGCAGCTCCACTCCAGAAGTCCCCAAGCCCCCCAAGCCTTCTCAAGGACCCTCCACAACCAGCTCTGGGGGGAGCATTGGCCCAAGCCCCCCAAGCAGCTCCACTCCAGAAGTCCCCAAGCCCCCCAAGCCTTCTCAGGGACCCTCCACAACCAGCTCTGGGGGGAGCATTGGCCCAAGCCCCCCAAGCAGCTCCACTCCAGAAGTCCCCAAGCCCCCCAAGCCTTCTCAGGGACCCTCCACAACCAGCTCTGGGGGGAGCATTGGCCCAAGCCCCCCAAGCAGCTCCACTCCAGAAGTCCCCAAGCCCCCCAAGCCTTCTCAGGGACCCTCCACAACCAGCTCTGGGGGGAGCATTGGCCCAAGCCCCCCAAGCAGCTCCACTCCAGAAGTCCCCAAGCCCCCCAAGCCTTCTCAGGGACCCTCCACAACCAGCTCTGGGGGGAGCATTGGCCCAAGCCCCCCAAGCAGCTCCACTCCAGAAGTCCCCAAGCCCCCCAAGCCTTCTCAGGGACCCTCCACAACCAGCTCTGGGGGGAGCATTGGCCCAAGCCCCCCAAGCAGCTCCACTCCAGAAGTCCCCAAGCCCCCCAAGCCTTCTCAGGGACCCTCCACGACCAGCTCTGGGGGGAGCATTGGCCCGCAACCCCCCTCAGGCACAACTCCGAAGCCGCCTGCCTCGTCCACGCCTGGGGGGCCCTCCGGTGTGGTAACCAGCACCTCACCTTCATCAGCCTCATCCAGCGTGGGCTCAACACCCACCTCAAAGCCAGGTACCTCCCAGACAGTGCTCATGGGCCCAGCAGAACCCCCTCACCCTCAGGTAGCAGCCCCACTGGCCCTGGAGTGACCCTCATGTTCCCTGGCTCATGACACTGGGCAGTCCTGGGGATCAGTCGGGCATGATCCGCCCCAGGCTGGACCAGCATGACCATGCTGACTGTGAAATACAAAGGGGGGTGCCTCGGTCTGGGCGGAGACAGCAGGTCTTGGGGGGTCAACCCCCAAAGAGGTAAACGTGTGTGGAGGGCAGGCCAGAAGCCAGATCTGGGATACAGTGGAGACCACAGTTCCCAGGCCGCCCATTCCCTTGGCCCCAGCGCTGTCCCGGCCTTCCTTCTGCGGCGTTGGACACCTGCCTCCCTCCTGGACCCCCCTTCCTCCCAGGGGTCCCTGGGAACACAGAGCTCCTGCCGGGGGTGGGGGGCAACGGTGCTCTGGAGGCCCTGGCCTGGCTCCTTCCCAGGGTGTCCTGAGCCCCGGTGCTGCGCTGACAGGGAGGGGTGGTGTGTGGCCTGCAGGCTCGCCGGGCGCTGGAGGTGGCTCTGGGGACGATGGCCAGCCAGGTGGCCACACAGGGGACCGGCGCTTCTCCGCGGTGGAGATGGCCGCCCTGGGCGGGGTGCTGGGCGCGCTGCTGCTCCTGGCTCTGATCGCCCTGGTGGTCCTGGTGCACAAGCACTACGGCCACCCGCTCAAGTGCTGCTCAGGCAAAGCTCAGGTGAGGCCCGCGGGGGGAGATCCCGGGACAG